TACCAGAGAACGCCAGGAGACGTTTGTTTTTTGTGCCTATTTTACCAACATGTGAAACTTGTTTTAAAATACCACTGATATAGCTATGAGATAACTCGTAGTGGCAAATTCGGCCAGAATTGATACTACGAGTATACTCGTGATAGGCAGTCAACGTGTTAAGATCAACTTGCAACCAGCATGTGCACTCATGGATCTTGATCATAGAGACATTTCTCGTGCAGCACAGATAGGGTGACTTACACAGTAGAAACACAGACTACTAGTTCTAAGACTTCAGGGTTCCGATCCACCAAACATTTGTAGCCCTACTACATTCATAAGCCTATGATAGACTGTAGACTTGCGGCAGGTAGTAGTGTTATGAAAGCTCTGTGGATCGGGACTAGTGTTGGGAATTGGTTGAAATCTCACAATTGATGATTGCTTCTTTACCAACTAACGATCATCGACAAAAATTGGTTAGCATCATTTTCAGATTTTCGTATCCAGGTTGTTATTGCAGATATGTATAACATGATGCAACTTGCTACTTTAAAGTGATGACTAATATATCATGAACATAAACTTCCCGGAGTCTTCAAGAAATATTCAGTCATGGTTTTTCAGTTAGTGAAGTGAGTTTTCTAAGAATTAAACACGTTTTCAGGCCCTGACAACTTCAACGATATGTTCCATTGTCAAGTATTTCAAAGACTAAAACAGTAGCTCCAAAATCGTTTATGTTCGATTATGAGAAAATGTGATCGATTGCTTGGTCGTTTGGTCACTGCGACCAATCTTCGATTATTTAAATTAATCGGAACACCACTAATCGGGACCCAGGTTTATTTATCCGATACTCTCCACAAAGTGGTTATTAAAACCTGGAAATAGTTGAAGTCAGAAAACCCATGTACTGTTGTTCATAAATCTACAGACTTGAAAGTTTTACATACACTACTATTAAGCTTTGGTAAGTTAATTTGAAATATATGTATTTTATTGACCACAAAACATACCAAAAGCATCCCTAAATTACTTGTTTGTTGTTTAATTATGCATTCAGCAATATTTAAGCTTTATGAGACTGACCTATAAATATTTAAATCTGGACCAGACAATCCAGTGATTGGCATCAGCATCATTCATCCATGGAATATTGGAATACTATGTATGACAAGCAATCCACCAAGTCAGCAAGCCTGGGCTTCCTGCAGCCCATACGGTCGGCTGTTGTGAGCTTGGCAAATACTGAGTTACCAAGGAATTGATTGATATTTCTTGTATTGTAAAACACTTGCTGTCAACCACTCTTGATTTGTGTAAACATGGTAGTCGTGTCATTAGTGATTAATTTCAACCATATTTTTGTAACTAATTACTTTGGGTGGGCCAGAATATCATTTTGTTATCTGACTGAATAAAACATTAAATATGTTAAATCTATGTTATGGTGGATTTAAAACATGTTGTGGTTATAATGAGGAAGATATGAATATTACGTTATTTCATTCCCTGCGAAAAAATGTTATGTTTACATTATGTGCCTCAACACATCTTTGTCTTTCAAGATTTGGCAAACATCTTTGCATTTTTTAATCAATATAAGTTGACTTCATGATGAGGAAATCCCATATTGTGCTTCATTGTATGTAAACACTTTGTCAAAAGGACATGTCGCAATACTTGTTAAAGGGATTTAACTGTCTATGATATTCCCGGAAATGTCACTTCAGTGTAAATGTCCAATGTGTCAAGTGTATGTAGTGACCTTTGGTAACTATTCTCATAGAGTGTGTTATACATGTTATATCCCGGTCAGAGATAGGAGCTAATCATTCAGCCATTATATAACTAGAGATATTCATCACGGTGACCATGGTCATGATCAACTTTGTCATGGGTCTTGTCACAGGGTCACATTTCCAAGTGTGCAGTTAATTTATCAGGCTTTTGGTATACATGGTATAGATCTGTACACTTATGAATTTCAGGGACCAATGGTAATATTACATTCGGGGTCAAAGTATTGAACATTTAGGGTATGAGGTATTTTGGGTAATGATAAAGTGGGGTTCCAGGTATCAAAATGGAAATAAGAATCATTAAAATAGGGGTGTCCCTACCTCCATTACTTGTGTCATTAAACATGTCGTTACTTGTGTTATTATTGTAAGAGGCTACTAACGGGATTAGGTGGTCAGGGTTGCTGACTTGGTTGACACATGTCATTGTATCCCAATTGCGTAGATCGATGCTCATGCTGTTGACCACTGGATTGTCTGGTCCAGACTCAGTTATTAACTTAACCTCCGCCATATAGCTGGAATATTGCTGAGTGTGGCGTAAAACTAAACTCACTCACTCACTCACTCGTGTTATTCACTCACTCACTCATAGTATTCACTCACTCACTCACTTACTCACTCACTCACTCGAGTTATTACTTGTCTTTACTTGTGTGTCTACTTGCATGACCTGAATCCCTCCTTGAGTCGTACCTTGAAAGTTGAATGACCTGAATCCCTCCTTAGGTCGTTACTTGAAAGTTGAAGGAGCTGAAGTTGGGAAGCATTTGAGCTGAATGACCCCTCCTCCTTGGGTCGTTACTTGAAAGTTGAATGACCTGAATCCCTCCTTGGGTCATTACTTGAAAGTTGAATGACCTGAATCCCTCCTTGGGTCATTACTTGAAAGTTGAATGACCTGAATCCCTCCTTGGGTCGTTACTTGAAAGTTGAATGAGCTGAATCCCTCCTTGGGTCGTTACTTGAAAGTTGAATGACCTGAATCCCTCCTTGGGTCGTTACTTGAAAGTTGAATGACCTGAATCCCTCCTTGGGTCATTACTTGAAAGTTGAATGACCTGAATCCCTCCTTGGGTCGTTGAAACTTGAAAGTTGAATGACCTGAATCCCTCCTTGGGTCGTTACTTGACTTGAGTGTGAATGACCTGAATCCCTCTTTGGGTCGTTACTTGAAAGTTGAATGACCTGAATCCCTCCTTGGGTCGTTACTTGAAAGTTGAATGACCTTACTTGAAAGTTGAATCCCTCCTTGGGTCGTTACTTGAAAGTTGAATGACCTGAATCCCTCCTTGGGTCGTTACTTGAAAGTTGAATGACCTGAATCCCTCCTTGGGTCATTACTTGAAAGTTGAATGACCTGAATCCCTCCTTGGGTCATTACTTGAAAGTTGAATGACCTGAATCCCTCCTTTGGGTCGTTACTTGAAAGTTGAATGACCTGAATCCCTCCTTGGGTCATTACTTGAAAGTTGAATGACCTGAATCCCTCCTTTGAAAGGAATTGTTACTTGAAAGTTGAATGACCTGAATCCCTCCTTGGGTCGTTACTTGAAAGTTGAAGGAGCTGAATCCCTCCTTGGGTCGTTACTTGAATGAGTGTGAATGACCTGAATCCCTCCTTGGACTTGAAAGTTGAATTACTTGAAAGTTGAATGACCTGAATCCCTCCTTGGAATGACCTGTCCGTTACATTTGAAAGTTGAATGACCTGAATCCCTCCTTGGGTTGTTACTTGAAAGTTGAATGACCTGAATCCCTCCTTGGGTTGTTACTTGAAAGTTGAATGACCTGAATCCCACCTTGGGTTGTTACTTGAAAGTTGAATGACCTGAATCCCTCCTTGGGTTGTTACTTGAAAGTTGAATGACCTGAATCCCTCCTTGGGTTGTTACTTGAAAGTTGAATGACCTGAATCCCTCCTTGAATGACCTGAATCCCTCCTTGGGTTACTTGAAAGTTGAATGACCTGAATCCTTTGTTGGGTTGCATTACTTGAAAGTTGAATGACCTGAATCCCTCCTTGGGTTGTTACTTGAAAGTTGAAGGAGCTGAATCCCTCCTTGGGTCGTTACTTGAAAGTTGAATGACCTGAATCCCTCCTTGGGTTGTTACTTGAAAGTTGAAGGAGCTGAATCCCTCCTTGGGTCGTTACTTGAAAGTTGAATGACCTGAATCCCTCCTTGGGTCGTTACTTGAAAGTTGAAGGAGCTGAATCCCTCCTTGGGTCGTTACTTGAAAGTTGAATGACCTGAATCCTCCTTGGGACCTGGAGTTGAATGACCTGAATCCTCCTTGGTCGTTACTTGAAAGTTGAATGACCTGAATCCCCCTCGTTACTTGAAAGTTGAATGACCTGAATCCCTCCTTGGTCATTACTTGAAAGTTGAATGAGCTGAATCCCTCCTTGGGTCATTACTTGAAAGTTGAATGACCTGAATCCCTCCTTGGGTCATTACTTGAAAGTTGAATGACCTGAATCCCTCCTCCTTGAAAGTTGAAGGAGAGAATCCCTCCTTGGGTCATTACTTGAAAGTTGAATGACCTGAATCCTCCCCTCCTGACCTGGGTCGTTACTTGAAAGTTGAAGGAGCTGAATCCCTCCTTGGGTTGTTACTTGAAAGTTGAATGACCTGAATCCCTCCTTGGGTCGTTACTTGAAAGTTGAATGACCTGAATCCCTCCTTGGGTCATTACTTGAAAGTTGAAGGAGCTGAATCCCACCTTGGGTCGTTACTTGAAAGTTGAATGACCTGAATCCTTCCTTGGGTCGTTACTTGAAAGTTGAATGACCTGAATCCTTCTTTGGGTCGTTACTTTGTTACTATGTCCCATATTTATTACCTATGTCCATATTTTTGCACTTGCAGGGTATGAAACTCCCAAAAATTTCAGCTGAATCACAGGGCTGGTTAGATGTAAAACTTGCTAGCCTTGACCAAAACTTACCTGCCCACAAAATATCTTACATGTTTAAATTTTAACCTGGCCATCGGGCAGGTGAATTTGAGAATCTGGCGTCTTGTCTAACCCTCTTTGACCCCATTTTCTGGACCTGCATGCTTATTTATTTCCCTACCTGAGTAAAGTCCTTACTTGTGACACTTCTTGCTTCCTTACCTATGTCCTGATTAGCGTTCTGCTTGTGTTCCAACTTGCATGACCTTTATACCTCCTCACAATACTTGTATCTGATTTTTGTCCTCTCTACAGGTGCCATCTTGGGCGTACTTTCTGTGTGGTTTTGGACTGTTCGTCTACCAGTCCCTGGACGCCATCGATGGCAAGCAGGCACGGCGTACGAAGTCCAACACACCCCTCGGAGAGCTGTTTGACCATGGGTGTGACTCCGTGTCAACAGGTAAGTCTCAGAATACAATCCACAAATCCAGGTGTTTATCTTTATGCATATTCAGTGTGTATTTATGATATTCTTCAAGTTTCACGCAAGTGATGTGTAGTAATAACTTTACTTATTATTATATTAAAGTTCACATGCAACGTAAAACACAACTTTGCAGATTCTGATACCTTTCAGTATGGACTTACAGATACCAATCATCAAAAATGCAAATTCAACTTATAAAGTTGAAAAAATAATGCAATGAAAAAAACCCAGCGAAATCGGAGTTCAAACGATTCACTAAATTCACCCCAGCGCTTGGGGTGAAAAGTGGTTTCAACAGCTGGGCTGGGCTGCGCTCATAGCACATGCACAGTGAAATAGGTTCGAGCAGCTTGGAAGCGGGATGTCTGGATTATAAGGTCGTGAGCAGGAGTAGTCTAACCAAAACAAATAGTTTTTTAATCTACTCATTACATAAAAGAACCTTGTTAGGATCTAGATCTACTCAGCTATGTGTCAATCAGTGAGGCGTTCGACATTTCAAAACGGAAAACCTTCACTGGTGGTGAATACTCGGTGAAGGCTTTCATGTGAGCTATTTTTCTAATGTTTTGTTGATATTTCACAGGCGCGAGCTTTTTATATGTTATGACAGTAGATTACCGATTTAACTGTTTATATAATTTCATTTGTCTATTTCACCACACGTTCTTCTTACTGAGTCACTTTCTCAGTTCGATACTTAAAAGCAATGTCATTATTTAGCGTTGACAGAATTTCTAACTGTGATATAGATATGTCGTTGTCACAGACAAAACTCAATGTCTGTTTTATTGACACCTATGTGTTTGCTTGCCTGTCTGCTAATGACAATATTCAATACACAACTTCGATCACTGACCACATGCAATTTGAACTTATCAATCTGAACCTATCAGGCTATACACCATACACAAAAGGCATTTATGGCCCGAGTTCTGTCTCTGTCACATTATGTAATTACACAGACAGACAGGTGTGATACTTGTACACATGACGTGTTATGATGTCTGTTGATTGCAAAATGTTATACACAAAAAAATGAGCATGTATTTACAAAACCCAACATCTCTGTATACACACACACAATGAGCCGTGAGGGCATCGGTGGGCGAGCTGGCTAAGGCGCCAGGCTACTGATGCAGCGAGGTTGAGGTGCCGGGATTGAGCCCACCTGTGACCGGGTGTAAAAAACCTTGGAGTCAACTTTGTGTGCAGACTCTTTCAGTGTTGTCACAACCCCTAGTGTACAGTACACAACCCTATGCACTAAAAAGAACCCACGAATCCGTTGGTATATGACCAGATGGTGGCCACATGAATACATGCAAACACCTACATGTAGTTGCGGATACAGCAACATGCATTAAAGTTGGACAAAGTACTGTGACTATGTGTCCCAGTCCATCCAGCTGTGAATGGGTACCTGGTTAGGATGAGAGAGCCACAGTAACTCAGTGTGCCTTGTGGCAGCAAGAGTTGTATACTCCCCAGGGAGTTGAATGAGATTGATGTTACGATGTTCCATTGAGATTGACATTCAATGACATCCAGTGATCGAGGGACAATATACCAGCGCCTTGAACATGGACTAGCTGCGTGGATATGTGCGCTATAGAAATATCCTATAATAATAATTGGCAAATGAACTAGCCGTTACACTTGAGTGCACACCCACCCGCTCTGACTGGTTTCGGTATCCCGGCTGCTTCGTTTCTTGGGAAGTAAACCCAAGTACAAAACTTGGCACTTTTGATTTGCGATTGTACGCTTATAATTTTGTTTATATGTTTTTTCATAATCAGCAATGTATATTATATGTCATGAATAAGTGATAATTGTGTTTTAATTATGTTTGATTTTTTGGTTGCATGTGACCTTTAACTTACAGTACCTGTATATACAATATCGACATTTGGACTATACTCAGGTATTTCTCGACCTGTGGAGAGGCTGACATTTGACCCCATATCGGAAAGACATGTCAGTACAAATTCCTGAATCAAGGAAATATTTCCCACCATATTGAAATCAGTTAGAGCTGATGTTTTTTCGAGTTTACTTGTGTACTTCACTGACAGCAGGGTATGTAAAGTAAAAGAGCCAGTGTTGCTTAAGTTTCATTGTCACACTAAAAGAAATGTTGAATTTGCAAAAATACAATCTTAATAAAAAACTACCAATTTTGAACAAAATAATTCTAAGTTTGACTGCCCTTGGCAGACAGTACAGAATCAAGATAAATCATTGTACTATGGAAGTGACATCATATCATGACCTTCTGTGTGATATACATGAACATCTGTATTTTCATTAGTCACATGACCTTCTTTAAGACACGGTATTGGTCCATTGAACATGATATTGCCTTCTTGAACAGCCAATAATTATAAATATATTAGGATGGTTCTGTATTATATGAAACTTAAGTTCTGTAATGATATGTAATGACTTAGTGATATCATAAAAAGTGTGACTGTGGTGATATCATACAAAGTGAGACTTTGTAACTGTGATGATATAATAATTAAGACTTTATGACTGTGTTGATGTTGTGTTAAACAGTTGTGTGTCAGTTGTGTATTCATGTATCTGTTCTCAATGTGCTGCTATGGTCACAGATACAGCAATATGCAGTGTGTTGCAGCACATGTGCTCAATGCCATTTTACATGTGTATTCATCAAACTGGAGGCTGAACCAGAGGAATAAACTCTGTAAATTGAGGCGATCTGTGGCTCAGTATCGTGTTCCATAAATCAATACTACATTACATGATAAACCATATCAAGAAGGAACTCATACAATGTGTTTCAGCTGTTACTGGAACATAATGGCAACTGCTGCTGCTCTCTCTCTTAATCTCTCTGTCTCTCTCTGTCTCTCTCTCTCTCTTTCTCTCTGTCTCTCTCTGTCTCTCTCTCTCTCTCTCTGTCTCTCTCTCTCTCTCTCTCTCTCTCTCTCTCTCTCTCTCTCTCTCTCTCTCTCTCTCTCTCTCTCTCTCTGTCTCTCTCTCTCTCTCTCTCTCTCTCTCTCTCTCTCTCTCTCTCTGTCTCTCTCTCTCTCTCTCTCTCTCTCTCTCTCTCTCTCTCTGTCTCTCTCTGTCTCTCTCTCTCTGTCTCTCTCTCTCTTTCTCTCTCTCTCTCTGTCTCTCTCTCTGTCTTTCTCTCTCTCTCTCTCTCTCTCTCTCTCTCTTTCTCTCTGTCTCTCTCTGTCTCTTTTCTCTCTCTTTCTCTCTGTCTCTCTCTGTCTCTCTCTCTGTCTTTCTCTCTCTCTCTCTCTCTCTGTCTCTCTCTCTCTCTCTCTCTCTCTCTGTCTTTCTCTCTGTCTTTCTCTCTCTTTCTCTCTCTCTCTCTGTCTCTCTCTGTCTCTCTCTCTCTCTCTCTCTCTCTCTCTCTCTCTCTCCTCTCTCTCTTTCTCTCTCTCTCTCTCTCTCTCTGTCTCTCTCTCTCTCTCTCTCTCTCTCTCTCTCTCTCTCTCTCTGTCTCTCTCTGTCTTTCTCTCTGTCTTTCTCTCTCTCTCTCTCTCTCTCTCTCTCTCTCTCTCTCTCTCTCTCTCTCTCTCTCTCTCTCTCTCTCTCTCTCTCTCTCTCTCTCTCTCTCTCTCTCTCTCTCTCTCTCTCTCACACACACACACTCAGCCTCCATGGTGTAGTGGTTTAGAGCCCCTCGAGAGCTCAAGGTTGTGGGTTCGATCCCGACTGCGTCATACCTAAAGACATTAAAATATGGTACTTGTTGGTCCCTGCCTGGTGCTCGGCATTAATGGAGTACAACAAGGACTGGTCGGATCGAGTCAGTATAATGTGTCTGAGTGGGGTATTCATGCTTCACTGCGGCGTGGTATCTAAGTGGGCTAGAGCTATAAAACCCGCTTCAGTCTGGACTAGTACAAGCAGCCACACATACACATACACACGCATGCACGTCGTCATATGAGAGAAATATTCTCAAGCACTACGTTAAACCCAATTTCACCTCATTTCCCTCGCCTCATCTCACCTCACACACTCTCATTCATTCATTCATTCACTCACTCACTCACTCACTCACTCACTCACTCACTCACTCACTCACTCACTCACTCAAAGACTGTCTTGTGTAAATGAGGCATAATAGCTGGGTGTTTGTTACTGTCGACATTCCTTTTGTTAATAACATAATTGCCATACTTTGACATGTAAAGAGCCATATTTCTTGTAGTCCGCTATATGCCAACATGCCAACGGAATTGAAACAAGAACATAGGAGAAAATCTCAACGGTGACTGATCAAATTGTTCCTTGCATAAAAACTATCCGGCAATAGCAGTCATTTGCTCCCAAGTGCTTTACTTATTGTCATTATTATCTGAAATATATGTAATAACTGCTGCAATAAACGTACCATGGTATTCTATATATTGTTTCTGACATACTATTGGTTTCAGGTTTCAGATTCCATTTATTCCGAACACTGCATGAAATTTCCATGAAATCATATTGATGTATACTTTCTGCTTGAATCGGGGCGGTGGGGTAGCCTAGTGGTTAAAGCGTTGACTCGTCACGCCGAAGACCCGGGTTCGAATCCCCACATGGGCACAATGTGTGAAGCCCATTTCTAGTGTCCCCTGCCGTGATGTTGCTGGAATATTGCTAAAAGCGGCGTAAAAACCAAACTCAGTCAGTCAGTCTGCTTGAATCACCTGTAGATGGGAAGGAAACATGTGCACAGCTGATTGTTATTTCTGGCTTAGTTATGAGAAAATACACACAGTAATCTTAACCTCTGCAGAAAACACAATTTAAATGGTGAATAATTATGTCCAGCAAAATTTATCTTTCCTGCTTCCATGGAAACGATTCGGACTTAGTCCCAAAAGTGAGGGTGGGTTTCGTTTCGAGCATAACTCAAGAACCGTTCCATATTTTTCAGCAAAACTTGGTAGATATATCAAACAGAACCTTAAATGGTGCCTTTTGCTATTTGCAGATTTTTGGCATTTTTATTTTTCCCGGTTTCCATGGAAACAAATCGAACTTAGTCCCAAAGGGAAGGGGTGGGCTTCGTTTCCGGAGCACAACTCGAAAACTTCTTAATATCTTTCAGCAAAACTTGGCAGATATGTGAGGCAGATCCCAAAGTGGTGCCTTTTGCTATTTACAGATTTTTGTCTTTTTTATTTTTCTAGGTTTCCATGGAAACGATTTAGACTTAGTCTCAAAAGGGAGGGGTTGGTTTCGTTTCAAAAACTTCTTAATATCTTTCAGTAAAACTTGGCAGCTATGTGAGGCTGATCTTGAATTGGTGCCTTGTGCTATTTGCAGATTTTTGTCATTTATGTTTTTCATCATTTCCATGGAAAACGATTTGCACTTAGTGTAAAATCAAGCTGGACTTTAAGTAACTGTCAGATGATTTGTTCTTTCAAAGATGTGGGGGCTGGGGGGATATGTCATCTTCTGATGACTCTTGTTTAAATAGCCATGTTTCTTATCGCCTGTTTCTCCACTTGTGTCCACTGAAGGGATACAATGTAGATTTTGACTCAGCAAAATACTTGCATAACCATAAGCATTATATTAAAGAGTTTTTTTGCAAAGAATTTGGGCAAAGGGGGTAAATGTTGAGATTCAGATATCCGGAAATCTTTTAATCTGAACAAAGCATTAGAAAGGGACATTCGAGTGTATTTATGCCAACATACTCCCAGTGCATGTTAATATTTTGTTGTTCAAAGAACACAGACCAGCTGGAAAACAGAATGATGAGGAACTGTCTTGTAGCAGTGACTCTGATGACTAGGTGGCCTGTGGTTCTGAAAAACAGAATGATGAGGAACTGTCTTGTAGCAGTGACTCTGATGACTAGGTGGCCCGTGGTTCTGGAAAACAGAATGATGAGGAACTGTCTTGTAGCAGTGACTCTGATGACTAGGTGGCCCGTGGTTCTGGAAAACAGAATGATGAGGAACTGCCTTGTAGCAGTGACTCTGATGACTAGGTGGACCGTGGTTCTGGAAAACAGAATGATGAGGAACTGCCTTGTAGCAGTGACTCTGATGACTAGGTGGACCGTGGTTCTGGAAAACAGAATGATGAGGAACTGCCTTGTAGCAGTGACTCTGATGACTAGGTGGACCATGGTTCTGGAAAACAGAATGATGAGGAACTGCCTTGTAGCAGTGACTCTGATGACTAGGTGGACCGTGGTTCTGGAAAACAGAATGATGAGGAACTGCCTTGTAGCAGTGACTCTGATGACTAGGTGGACCGTGGTTCTGGAAAACAGAATGATGAGGAACTGTCTTGTAGCAGTGACTCTGATGACTAGGTGGACCTTGGTTCTGGAAAACAGAATGATGAGGAACTGCCTTGTAGCAGTGACTCTGATGACTAGGTGGACCGTGGTTCTGGAAAACAGAATGATGAGGAACTGCCTTGTAGCAGTGACTCTGATGACTAGGTGGACCATGGTTCTGGAAAACAGAATGATGAGGAACTGCCTTGTAGCAGTGACTCTGATGACTAGGTGGACCGTGGTTCTGGAAAACAGAATGATGAGGAACTGCCTTGTAGCAGTGACTCTGATGACTAGGTGGACCATGGTTCTGGAAAACAGAATGATGAGGAACTGCCTTGTAGCAGTGACTCTGATGACTAGGTGGACCGTGGTTCTGGAAAACAGAATGATGAGGAACTGCCTTGTAGCAGTGACTCTGATGACTAGGTGGACCGTGGTTCTTGTAGCAGTGACCCTGATGACTAGGTGGACCGTGGTTCTTGTAGCAGTGACTCTGATGACTAGGTGGGTTGTGGTTGACCGTGGTTGAATGACTGTTACTGTTTATGTTAATGTGAAAACAGAATGATGAGGAACTGTCTTGTAGCAGTGACTCTGATGACTAGGTGGACCGTGGTTCTTGTAGCAGTGACTCTGATGACTAGGTGGACCGTGGTTCTTGTAGCAGTGACTCTGATGACTAGGTGGGTTGTGGTTGACCGTGGTTGAATGACTCTTACTGTTAATGTTAATGTGAAACTTTATGACGGAAGACATAATGATCCGATCAGACCCAGGATAATTTTGATGTTCTAAATCATCAGTACCAAAACTCAAGCACTAAAAAAATATCATGCAACTGGTGCAACCTGTTTTTGTCTAGTGCAACAAATTTAATACCTAAGGCTGCACTGAAGAAGGTTTCATTCGATTCCTGATACATGCATGTGTTTCTGTCCAACTACATGTGACTGCTTATGTTCCAGTGAATATTTGGAAATCCTGACATTATATATTAACAGACTTTGACTGGTGTCCCGAACACAAATTGTCTCTCCATTCCATTCCACTCACCAATATTTTGTTATTTCAGTGTTCGTCATGCTGGGTGTGAGCATCGCAATGAAGCTGGGGAAGAACCCAGGATGGATGCTGTTCGAGAACTTAATGGCTGTGTTTTTATTTTACTGTGCACATTGGCAGGCTTACGTCTGCGGTAAACTCAGGTTTGGCCCGTGAGTATTGAATTCGTCTAGATATAACAGTGCACCTCATTAAGTGGAAGTTCTTGCATAATGAAAGATTTTATTTGATAATTTGTTGTACAGTGTGTGGATGTTACAGTTCATATCAAACTGTTGTAGAGGATTATGGTGTTCCTTGACGTCATATAGTGAAATGGACTTGAGTTTTAAGGTTTCTGCTGGTTAATTTAACTCAAATAACATATGGTATACAGTAAAGATAAGAGAGCTGTAAGAACAATCATCTTGGTAATTGGTTAAGACCACTTATGTGCTTCTTTGCTCTAAACTTGCCCAGTAGACAGAAACAAACCATTAAACAAATCAAAATGCAGCCTTTCCCCTGTAGCGGAAAACGGCCTTGCAGTTGCTAGCTGACATACTCCCTTGACTTTTACTAGACCTTAAGAAACATTTACAATTAGACAAACTGACTCAAAATCAAGATAGTTTATTGTACATAAGTCTTCCGTCCCATATGCATGGTATTGTAATGACACGAAAAGTATGGACAGTGCAAATTGTCACAACATTGTGAAATTAGTTGCCAGAAGAAATAAGACTCTTCCTTAATGTCAACTCCGGGTGGCCTACCAGTACTATGTTGTCAGTATTGCAGGTGATCCTGTGTAAGATCCTATTAACCCCTGTAACCATGGTGACCACAATGTGTTTCATTTCAGCCTGGATGCCACGGAGGGCCAGTTTACAGTTATGTTTGTGCACCTAGTATCTACAATAATGGGGGATTCATTCTGGGATATACAGGTAGGTGCAGCATCAGTGTCCCTTGGGAAGTTTGGCTAGATACTTGTGTTGGTTGAAAGAAATGACTTAAACAATCACATACTCAGGTTGGTTCTTTGCAGGTCTTCATTCCTATTGCATCATTGGACCCGTGAAGATCCGGGTCAGAATTGGTCCTCAGTAACCTATGCTTGTCGTAAGTTGCGACTAACGGGATCGGGTGGTCAGACTCGCTGACTTGGTTGACATGTGTCATCGGTTCCCAATTGCATAGATCAATGTTCATGCTGCTGATCACTGGTTTGTCCTGTCCAGACGATTATTTACTGACCGCCGCCGCCATATAGCTGGAATATTGCTGAGTTCAGTGTTTGTTGCTCATCCATCGGCATGGGTTATTGTTGCTTCAGTAACAAATATGTTGCTGACTAGATCAGTAATTTATATATCAGGATAGGTGACCCTGAAACATTGCTCTGAAACATTGAGGAATGACTGCTGTTTCATCCTTCCCAACATCTGATGTTCCTTGCAGATCCCCATCTTAGGGATGGAGATGAAGATTCTAGTGATACTATTCAGCCTGTTTGGAGCAGCCGTGGCGATGTACCGCACTTACTTGTGTGTCATGAAGGGTGGCGTGGGCAAGAACGGATCCACTGTTGCGGTAAGCATTTCTCAACTTGTCTCCTGCCATCCACTGTATCTTGTCTTGTTTGATAAATGTCTCTGACCCATCAGCCACTAGTGGTAGTCCGATTAATTGAAATAATCGAAGATTGGTCGCAGTGCCTAAACGACCAAGCAATCGATTGTGCTTTCTCATAATCGAACACAACCAATTTTGGAACACTTGTTTGCATCAACAATAATTTACACAAGGTTGGTTTTGTCTGTGCCATTAAATTTATATTTCATAAGCACTACAAGCTCGTTCCAAGTCATGATTGAATTTATTTTTAAGAATCCAGGAAATCTGTGTTCCTAACATACTAATCTTCCTTTGAATATGCGAAATTTGCCAATGGATTTTGTGCAATTTGCAAAAAACAAAATTGCAACATGTTTTTTCTTTATTTTGTGTGTGTGCATTAACAAAGATAACAGAAACTTTGATAAATGATGCTAACCAATTATTTTTGATGATTGATCGGTTGTAATGAACCAATCATCAATTATGAGATTTTGACCAATTCCCAACACTAACACCCAAACAAAATACCTGTTTCGAAGAATACTTTGTATATCTAATTCAAGAACGTCTGTCTATTCCGTAGAAATCGAAAGAGACGATGGTCACGACTGATGTTTATGGTGGAAAATGCTTGTTCCTGTGTATTAGTTTAAGGGGGAAAAGTCCTTAGGCAGTAAGACATTCACAGTTGTATTTGAAATATCTTTTTAAAAAGCGAGTCAAGTACTGGTGTAACTGCACATTTTTGCAGTTATTTTAATACAGGATTATTCCAGCTTCATCATTAGAACCTGATTCAAACAAGCTATGGCGGTCAAGGAATCCTTATCCAGGATCTAATGCCAAGAGTTAAACATTTAAGGGGTGTCAAGCAAATCCTATAGAAATTATTATCACAGTCTCATTCAAGCGATCAGAAAAGGAATATGTAGACTGGAGATCAAAACATTTAGGCCACACACACTAGTGGTCTACTGTTTTCTGATTGGCTGATAAAAGGATGGAATGGACTTGAGTTACTTGCCCCTGATGTTGACCTTCTGTCTACAGATATTTGTGTAAATAAACAATCTGTGAACTGTTTATGATCAGTGGAGACATAATGTTGACGATATACAGCACTACACATCAGACTAGTCCTATGATGATATTGTGTATATTTCCAGGGTAATGTTGATGATATATAGCACTACACATCAGACTAGTCCTATGATGATATTGTGTATATTTCCAGGGTAATGTTGATGATATACAGCACTACACATCAGACTAGTCCTATGATGATATTGTGTATATTTCCAGGGTAATGTTGATGATATACAGCATTACACATCAGACTAGTCCTATGATGATATTGTGTATATTTCCAGGGTAATGTTGATGATATACAGCACTACACATCAGACTAGTCCTATGATGATATTGTGTATATTTCCAGGGTAATGTTGATGATATACAGCACTACACATCAGACTAGTCCTATGATGATATTGTGTATATTTCCAGGGTAATGTTGATGATATACAGCACTACACATCAGACTAGTCCTATGATGATATTGTGTATATTTCCAGGGTAATGTTGATGATATACAGCACTACACATCAGACTAGTCCTATGATGATATTGTGTATATTTCCAGGGTAATGTTGATGATATACAGCATTACACATCAGACTAGTCCTATGATGATATTGTGTATATTTCCAGTGTAATGTTGATGATATACAGCATTACACATCAGACTAGTCCTATGATGATATTGTGTATATTTCCAGGGTAATGTTGATGATATATAGCACTACACATCAGACTAGTCCTATGATGATATTGTGTATATTTCCAGGGTAATGTTGATGATATACAGCACTACACATCAGACTAGTCCTATGATGATATTGTGTATTTTTCCAGGGTAATGTTGATGATATACAGCATTACACATCAGACTAGTCCTATGATGATATTGTGTATATTTCCAGTGTAATGTTGATGATATACAGCACTACACATCAGACTAGTCCTATGATGATATTGTGTATATTTCCAGGGTAATGTTGATGATATACAGCACTACACATCAGACTGGTCCTATGATGATATTGTGTATATTTCCAGGGTAATGTTGATGATATACAGCACTACACATTAGACTAGTCCTATGATGATATTGTGTATATTTCCAGGGTAACGTTGATGATATACAGCACTACACATCAGACTAGTCCTATGATGATATTGTGTATATTTCCAGGGTAATGTTGATGATATACAGCATTACACATCAGACTAGTCCTATGATGATATTGTGTATATTTCCAGGGTAATGTTGATGATATACAGCATTACACATCAGACTAGTCCTATGATGATATTGTGTATATTTCCAGGGTAATGTTGATGATATACAGCATTACACATCAGACTAGTCCTATGATGATATTGTGTATATTTCCAGTGTAATGTTGATGATATACAGCATTACACATCAGACTAGTCCTATGATGATATTGTGTATATTTCCAGGGCACCAGTACAATATTCCCAGTGTTCCCCATCATCCTGGCGCTCGTCCTGGGCACCCTCATCCAGGCGAAGTCACCCACTCACGTGTTCGAGCGTCATCCATGTCTTTATATACTTAGTTTTGGGCTGCTGGCAGCAAAAGTCACCAACAGATTGGTGGTGAGTTGAATGTGTTCACATCATTTACCCTCCCATGTAGGATAGCCCTTGACAAAACTTTGCAGTATGTTTTACAGAGTTATGGCCCTTAGCAGTGTCATGAACTGTTAAACATGACTAACAATTGCTGGATTTGCTTGTGTAACGAGTTTGGTTTTATGTAATGGTAATGGAATGAATACATGACACGTTTTATGGATAACAACTTGTTTTTATTCTTTACACGACGTTTCAGATCTAATTCTTGCTCCTTCATCAGGTGAATGCTACGTCAGTACAAAGGGTGAATACAGCGTGTCATGTATTCATGTTCGTCCAACTTCTAAATGCCTTTTAATAACTCTGTAATGGGATGACTGACTGACTGACTGAGTTTGGTTTTACGCCGCTTGTAGCAATAATCCAGCAATATCACGGCGGGGGACACCAGAAATGGGCTTCACACATTGTACCCATGTGCGGATTCAAACCCGGGTCTTCGGCGTGACGAGCCAACGCTTTAACCACTAGGCTACCCCACCGCCCGTAATGGGATGAGATGACTGACTCATCAAAGTGGTGGTAAACTCAACAGTATTTCAGTTTTAATGGCATGATGACATTGGCTACCATGACTAATTTCTTAGGTTTTCTGTGAAGCTCATAGGGCTGGCTATCTATATAGATGATAGAGATGATAATCCTTAGCTGAATATCAATATATTCATAAACATTGTACTGTAACTTTGACCAAAAAGGGAAAAAAGAGAAATCAACATGCTTCACATTACTGGTGAGGTGCCATATCTATGCTTGGATGGCTAAAACCATAGTCTGAAACATGATGTAGAAGCAGTCCATGGATACAGACCTAACTATGTGCGTTGTCCAAGTTAATTGATTTCATCATAACAGTTTATGTATGATATCATCAATAATTATTTGTAATCTTCCTCATCGACAGTCTTTCCAATTATTGTTCTTTATAGCCAGTCTTACAAATTACGGTTACCACCAGGTGCCAAAATGTTTTACTTTCAGTTCCTAGAATTTTTGAAATACATCCGATAAGTCAGTGATTGTACTTGTAACTATTTGGTAGAGTACTGCCATTCTAGACATGGTATCCATGGTAATGGACTTGTGTATATTTCAGGTGGCGAATATGACAAAGAGCGAGATGAACTTGCTGGACTCAGGGTTGGTGGGACCTGGACTGATGTTCTTAAACCAGTACTTCAATAACTTCTTCAATGAATACTTCCTGTTGTGGATATGCTCTGTAAGTATGCGTGACATAACTTGAGACTAAAATGCCAAATCCACAAGACTTCTGGTTTGCATAAACCTTAATAAGCTTGAATAAGCTTTGATAATCCTTAACAATCCCGAATAAGCCAGTTTATCTCTTCTCCATTCTGCTATCAAAGGTATCTGGATCAATCTGCGAGGCATCTTTACTGTAACTTTGTTTGGGAAGTGATGTAATCCTCACTCTTATCATTGAGGATGAAACAGTACTCCAGAATGTGCATCTGATGGTGACCAATGTATGAGATATGTGTTTCATGGCCTTCAGTATTATGGCAGTCTTGCTTATCTGTAGAAGGTTGCCCCTGAGGTTGAAACCAACAACATTGCTATTCTCAATACAAGTTGCACAAAGATAACGTTCAAATTCTTCAGGTTATACGAGTGAGTCCTCTTGATATGTTTAGTTTAATCCAGTCACAAAACTTGCTTAACTGTAAAAGTGACATTCACTGAATTAAGATCCAATTTTCATTTGGCTGCCATTTCAGCCATCTTGAATTTGTATTTCTTTCCTAGTGACTTTGGCAATTTTCAGCTCGATAATAGCTACACTTGAATGTAACAATGTATACATGTCAACTGCCTGTACAATTAAAATATTTTCTCCCTTTTTTTCCCAGCTCTATGTGACAGTAGACATTGTGAAATATTCTTACATCGTTTGTCAAGAAATCTGCGACTACCTGGGCATATACTGTTTCACAATCACCTCGAAACCCCCACCAAAATCTACTACCAACGGCAAAGAGAAGAAAAGCTGAGACATTGACTGACTGGAATTACCTCCCTTGTTATTTTCATATATTTATTGAATTGTAGAGCAGACCTGATGTTGTCAGTAGTTGTTGATTTTAATCCCAACTGATCAAACGTGCACCTTTCGTATGTGTCGTTATGTTGCTCATCATCAGTGTCTCTGTAGGTTGAGAAGCGTGTCATGTGTTTTGTTTCATACGTTTTTAGTCCTTAATTCATTGTTAAATAAAGATATAAAATGCCGCAATTATCATAGGAATGACGTGAAGCTGGAAAATCAGCACAAAAGAAAACTTCAAATGTGAAAATTGAAAACAAAATTATTGTAGGTTTTTAATATTTTTTAATCTAATTCTTATGGGATATTTACAACATGTATTACCCTTTATTGAGTAAGGAAGTAACTCAGTAAGCAAGAAGGCACTCCCAACATGGGTGCTTGCTAAAAATAGATTCATTTCAAATGTTGCCTATTTAGGAAAGCGCTATAGAAAGAGCATCCTCTCAGGCTTGCTTAGGTATGTTTGAAGGAGATTGCTGTGGTTTCCTTAGCTGTTGTACATAGCAATGTGACATGTGATTTTGTTGAACGTAAGCGGTTCAGTTGAGCATACCTTTTTGTGCTAAAATATGCCAAATTGTTTTATTTTCAAAATGTTTCCGTAACATGTTTAACAAATTATGAAAAACTGATGCAGTAGTACCATTATTCTCAAAACAAATCTTGTTTATCACCTGACTCCAGTCTAACATCTAGAGATTCAGGAGTGGATTAAACAGTAAATTGTTAAAAGCCACAAATTTAGAAATACATGATTCTTATCCATCTCTTAGGCTGTCAGTCACAATAACATAACTCTCGTTGAACAGCTGATGAGTTGAGGGCCTTATCATGTTGGAAGCTTAATGGAGCCTTCTCTCAGAAGCTTGTGAAAATGTTTAACATGACCTTGAACTTAATAGAATAACATCCAGCACTTACTGATTTCTATTCTGCTATTCACACAAAGCCAGGAAACAAACAACATGTCTGTGTGTCATAACTGCATGAACAAAACATGAATGTTGATCATGTGACCACTTCATTCCTCCAACATGGTGTACAGTCATGCTGGGAGTACATTGACAATCAAACTGTGAGAGTTGCTGAAAGTTGTTTTCATGTCATCTACAGTATTTCACAAATGGTCTGATATCATCAAGCAATATATTTATCATGTTGATTCTAGAAACAACCTTTGGGGACAGTGTAGTCAAATACTCACACATACTTGACTTGGGCCTCCTTTCACAGAGCACTAAGGTGATTGTAAGACACTAAGGTAACCTTAGTGCAGTGTTAAAGAATGGGAGTTAAGGGTAACCTTAGTAAAGGTTGCTTCGTGAAAGGAGCCCCAGTTTTGGTTAGTTTATGAAGTCAGCTGAAGGAAAGCCAAGCTTAACAGTGATTGTCTCCAGATCCTGTTAATAGATAACAGACTATAATTTCTGCTAATGGAGTAGTTGATAGCACACATTTGACAGAATTTCACCACAGGGACATATTGTTTTCTTGGTAAACACTGCCATGTGCAATTATACTTATTGAGTTTAGACAACATGTCGACAAGCAGCAGTTAACTGGTTGAGACTGGATGATATGACATGTGGAACATATTATACCTCAAGGTAAGCAGATAAGGGGCAGCAATCAGGCCAGATAAGTGGGTTACTGTTAACGGAAATCTGCCAGTACTTGCCATTATGGTTCTATGTGGAATTATGGTAAATATGACCATTCCTGTATCCATGACTGATTACTTATTTATTAATGAGTTTGTATGATGGAGGTAAATTTTGAAAACGTTTGTAAGTTAAAAATCTCATGTAAGGTTTCCATACAATATATTGTATCTATTTTGAGCCATTTCTCTCATATTTGTATACTAATCGCACTTAAATCTCATGATAATCTCTCCAATACGATACCTGTCTGCAAGATTTGAGGACAAACTTTGATCACCCAATCAAAATTAATGGTTTTGAGCTAACAAGATGCCAGCTCTCTGTCATGATTTGGTCATTCACTGTAATTAAGACATTTATGAATTTTGTAAAAGAAACTTGTCTCAGAAGAAAACATAGCCTCAATAGCGCACCATTTTGGGTATAGATATCATGGCGGTTATTAACAGCTCAATACATGTATGTGATGGGTAAAATGATAACAAAAATGTATTAATGCAGCTTTTTACCCACAAGTACAAATTGTATTGAGAAAAACATGTATGAATGGACGTACTAAGGATGTAGAAGGCCCGGGGCTGAATGGGTGGTCACTGCTTGCATCTGAAGTGACCTCCTATGGAGCTGGCATCCAATCTTCTTGCAGACGTATCATGTCAAACAAGGTCATACTCTTATGCTCACGTTTTGTTATTTCTATTGTCAGTGAGAAGTTTGTCCTGATAAAATTGTAAGAATTATTCAGAAACTGATAGTGAAGTCAAGCTGATTGCCTCATATGGAATATTGACGGGCGTGGCATTAAACAACAAACCATTGTGTGTTACCATGATAACAGCGATCTCTCACATAGCATAATATCTCATTTCAACATAATAAACACATCTGATGATTGGGAAACTGAATAATGTCTGCATTGTAGTCCTAGTTACCCATTCATATAATTACTTAGGGGGCTTTGTATGGGATACAAATGCATTTTTTTCATATTGCATTTCAGCCTGTGCTGGCCAAGTTCAGGGTTTTTATGTCATTGTTTAAATTTGTATGATATTTCAGACGTATTTGTTAATTTTATGTTGTACATGTATCAAGCTGTTTTATCAGTAACATAATCTGTTACATCTTGTGTTGCCATGGTTACTAATGTGGGAGGACTGTAACAGGACATGGACAGAATCCCTGTTATGAAAGGCATCAGAGTCTAGAGTTGTCCCTTTATAGAGTTATGTCCCTTTGGTGTGGCAGGAATCTATGATCATGCAAGATTAAGATCAGATTTTGGGTAACAGTCAGGGTTTCATCAGGTTAGAGTTCGGGTTCCCGTTGAAGTCTGGGTTATGGCTGATGTCAGTTTGACATTGAATTTGTTAACAGGTTAGAAGCAGTTAGACATGTGGTTGTGTCATCTCCTGCCTTGTTACAGTCCTCCCTTGTAGTGTCGGCTTCTTAATGGCAGACACGTTTGATTGCTGGTTGCCACTTTTCAGGGATGGAGCACTGCTATCATAATTATGTTCATAATTTTGTAAAAATATTTTTGTATTGAAATGAATCATTGATCACATAGTTTCCAATAATTAGTTATGTTGTTTGATGTGAATACTAACAGGTATGTATAGCACTCTTTATGCAAGTTCCCCTGGAATCAGATTTTCCAAAGATGAGAAAATAACTGACTTCTATACGTCTTTCCAGTTTTTAATCCCAGTGAAGGTAGAATACTCACAGATAATTGTTTTATGGAAGTATATTGTTGTTTTAGTGTGTGTTTGAAGTGAATTATACGATTATAGGATAAAGATATAATTATGTGGAGGTTTGCATGCTGCAATAGCTTTATGTGCTGATGTTAATTTGATGTTAGATGTAATATATATATATGCCCAGAAATAAGTTAAACACCACAACGTCTGTATTTGTGAATGTCAAAAACTTCAGTGCTTGTACTGTTTGAGAGGCCTTCTAGAAATTGTAAGCAATAGGAATGACAAGTCTGTATGGATGATCAACTGCTGTATTGTCCAATAGCAATGTTTCGGTATAGATACTTATATCTTCTTGAAAATGGTATAAGTGTCTATACCAAAACGTCGCTATTGTACAGTAAAGAAGTTGATCATCCATAAAGACTTGCCATTCTTTCAAAGTTTGTTTTGAAAATATCTGCATTACATTGACATTCTTTTGATTAATATTGAAGATACCACTGATAGCTCTTGGGCAGTTGGGAAACCAGCACCAGTTGGGCAGACGTCATGTTGTATAGAGAAGTAGAGGAGGCAGTTGAAGGAGAAGACGAAGCTTGAGAGGGAACAGTTACAAAACATGTTGGCAGACAGTCAGATTTGGTTTCTGTATTGTAAAAACAAAAATATTTCTTTGATTTAAAAAATATTCAATTTCTTTAATTACTATTTGACAGTAAAAGGTCAGTGAACTTATGTTACAACTAATTTCAAGTGCGTACATGTATTTCTAACGTAATTGTTCTTACATGTGTGGTGCTCTGTTCGGGTTGTGCTGGCATGGACATAGGTCAGTGGTTGTTTAGTGGGAAAATAATGTGTGAGTGAAGGAAATATCACTGAATTTATATTTTGCTAGGGGTTGTATAACTGATTGTGTCAGTCTGTGTACAATTAGTTGTTGTCTCTTTGGAAACATTATTTCATGAAACATCAACATTTATCAAAATACATGTATATAATCTTATATATGTAGAGTTTCAGGAAGAACACTGACATTTTACCTCTGAAGTATGTCAAAACAATTCCTTGGCCAGTTGATAGTTCCCTGATCCTGTGAATTCTACCACTGAAAACTAGGTAGTTCAAGAAAGATATGGCAGTAAGACGTAGGTGATGCATGATGCATTGTATCGGATGTTGTATCATATGATACAGATATGACAAGCTAGATTCCTTTCTTTCAATCATTCACTCTGCAGATAATCTGTTCCATTTCAGATAGTCAGCCATGTGCTAGCTGCAGGTCTAGCAATGTAGTTACGAGCCTACTGATGCTTTATCACTATCTGTAGATTATCATTAAACTTACGTAGGGTGAGTCGTGTAACTGTAGGTTGTAACAATTAGAACAGGTGCTTCTCGGGGAGTTCCTTTTTACATATAGGGAGCATGGTGAGGGTTCTATGATATATTTTATTTCATTTTATTTATTAATTTATTTATTTTGGGGTTGGGACGGGATGTTGTCTTATTCTGTGGTTTTACTACATAAGTTTATACCAGGGTTCTGTTCAACCAAACAGTTCTAGCACTATGTCCATTGTAAGATTGTTAGCACTACACCCATTGTGACACTGTTGACACTACACCCATTGTGACACTGTTGACACTACACCCATTGTGACATCGTCAGGCCATTGCAAGTCAAGCTCAATTGTGATGTCAGAGTAGGTGTTAGCTCAAAGAATAATGGAATTCACTCTCAGAGCAATGACAGTTACAAAATGTCTGTTCCAACTGGCACATCTATGACCATTTTAGCCCCGAGACAATTGTAAGTGTACATTACGACAATGGCCAATGTACGTCTGTCTGCACAGTGACAGTATATAATTACCATGGAGACCAATGTGAGTCTGTTAGAGATAGGTTGCTTCAGGGTTGTTGTCTCACTAGGTTGGTGTCTGTCATAGATCCCAATTTAGAATAGTCTGTGATGCTAATGTGATATGCATATTGCCATGTCGATCATGGGAAATTGCTGTCATGGCAGTCTGTAGGTAATCTTCAGTTGAATCTAGTAATAATACTTTGAATTTATAACAGAGAAACTATTTGTCTTGTGTTACATGTGTAGACATAGTTATTTATTAAAGTGGGTAAACATCCAGTAGTCAAGTAGAGAAGATGAATGGGAAAAGTTATTAAATATTAAATCTAATATTCAAAATGTTAGATTCATTTCAGAAACAGTCCCTGGCAAGGAAACTTGGTTTTATTAATACTATCATATGCTACACATCATGCCAAACAGATATTGCATGTTTTACATAACATATTAATAAATGTTCTGTTTGATGGAAGAGAGGTGGCCATCAGGTTCAAGTGTTAGCTCATCATGCAGACCCCCAAGGTTTTATTCTTTCCATGGTTAAGGTGTGTTAAGCCCATTGTAGTGTATCATAAATTGCTCATGGATTTCATAGAATATGGCTGGGTGTAGGGTACATTTTGAAAGCCATCAAAGTATGTTTACTGTAAGGTACAATTACTTTTATTGGTTTTTGACTGTTAAAATGTGGATTTTGTAAAGTAAGATTTTTATTTATTACAGCTTTTGTATTTAGTACTTTACAAAGTATTTATTACTTAACCTAATTAGTAGATTTTATCTATTTTCAAAAGGTCTTTTCAAATAATATTTCCTGTTTTTCTGGTGCTATCAGAAGTGTATGACTATTTGATAATAATTTGTTTGATATTTTGTACTATTTTTCAGAGGAAATAGGAAAATGATGTGAACAGTTAACAGAATTTGCTATTACTATTTGTGCCATGAATCTGTAGAATTCCATGATGTAGATGTGCGAGACCAGAGATGAGAATTGTAGGTTGTACAAACTGTCAGTTTGTGATTTTCATCCTGGATAGATCACCAGCCAACTGTTTACCTGTGCTCTGTCTATGGTGGATGTTGACAGGTAAATGTGGCTTGGACTGGTTATGGCTGGTAGAAATGGGGTATACAAAATGTATCTATATTGTTAGCATAGTGATCTCTGCTTCATACGACTTCAATAATCTGTAAAGTTGGAAATATATTCAGATTTATGTGAAATAAGATGCATTGCTTTCTGTTTCAAGAATAACCACTCTCTGATGGGTTTTTTCCTTTTTGATGTTTCATCACTTGATTTGCCTTTCAACCAATACAGAATATCAGATAAAATGTGCCGATTTTAAACCATGATGGAAAGTTTGGCACTGTTAATCTTGTCAAGCAGTAAATGTTTTTATTTATTTATTTTTCAAATATTGGGGTGCCATTCTTAATTTTATATTTCTTGCAAGCCTACAGGCAAGTACCAACTTACAGTGTTTGAAGCAGACTTCTGTACATGGTGACTTCAGTGAAGTACAATATTTGCCACAAGTGACCTTGGCACATAGAAAATTGATAGACGAAAATTAGAGAAAAATGATATAAAAGTTAAAACTGTTCTCAAAGAACACATTGTTTCCAATGTCCATGAAACTGCAGTGTATCTGATAATAATTATTAGATTGTCAGATAATTTTTAATATTCACAAGCAAATAAAGGTTATGTCAGTTTTACTGGCTTAGTACTGAGTGCACATAAAGACTACTTGCAGACTCATCTAGAAGTTGGGCATGGTGTGCCCTGGGGGCTTTCCATAGTGTTTCTCAATGAAATTGTTGCTATAATAATCCATGTGAGCCAATTGTTGTAATTTTCAAAAACAGTTCTTCAGACTTTGGGTCTGTCAGGTTCAAAAGCTTATAAGATGTCATTCGTTTTAGGCAGTAGTTTTGGTTCTGGTCCAGAAACACCCACTTGACTGATGTTGGTAGGTCTGTTAGAGAGAGTAGTCTGTTGATAACTTGCTAAAGGTAATTGCACGCTCAATGTGTCAGTCAAATTGTAGCAAGAAGTGCCAATAACTGTCTGAACTTTGATGGAATTGGAATTAGACAAGGTTTTTTAATGGGAAAAAAATAAGAGAATTAAACTCATTGAGAAAATTTGAGTATTTATTTAACCTATAATCTTATGATGTTTTATGCCCCGTATATGTGCTGTTTTATGTTGTGAGAACCAAGAGAGGTTCGTGTTTTACTGGTGGAGTGTGTCTGTCTGCTGCTTCGTGTCCTGTTGTAGCCAACAACGTTGCTATTGCTGCATGCACTAACTACTATTGTGAAAGTGTAGTCCTATTGTTTTCACAACATTGGGGTTTGTAAGACATCTTTCTAGATGATAGGTTGTCTATGTTGTACCTAGTATACTCTTCATTTTCTATATGGCACCGAAATTGAATCTATTTTAATAAAATACAATCAAATATTGATCCTAATGTTCTTACGTGTGGCACTCTCTTACAGTGCTGGCACTCTCTTATAGTGCTGGCAAGCAGTTGGTGTAGTCAGCATAGACACTCAGACTGAACAGTGTCTTGGGTAGCCAAGTAGTCTACTACAGTCGGTAATAATCCACCTGTCATGGGGGGGGGAGAGAAGAGAGAGAAAGACTTGGTTTCCGCCACCATTTGATGATCATGTGCTAAACAGACACAATTTCCTGCTGTCTGACTCATTGTGGCATTTGTATCAGCATACAAGTGAGTGAGTTTAGTTTTACACCGCACTCCACAATAGTCAAGCTACATGGCGGCGGTCTGTAAATAACCGAATCTGGACCAGACAATCCAGTGATCAACAGCATGAACATCGAACTACACAATTGGGATACGATGACATGTGTCCACCAAGTCAGCGAGCCTGACCACCCAATCTCGTCAGTTGCCTCTTACAAGCATGGGTTACTGGAGACCATTTCTAACCCGGATGTTTTGATTGGAAGTATAGATGACAACTGATTGAAGAGCAGGAAATCTCTCACTCCAGAGAACCCACGAATGGGAAGTGACAAACCAGTGGTAGATGAGCCTGTTGTGTTTTTGTATCATGTTAATTAACCTTAATAAATGTCTCACAGATATGGAACAGAATGCATAAAATTAGCAGGTATTTTAAGTAAAATACCTTGTCCCCAATCCCTTTCATACTTGTGAATAAAATATGTTTAAATCAACCAATCAAATCAACAGAATGCAAATTATTAAGATATCTTTAATTAATGAAAATAGAGTAAATGTATTCAAAAAATGGAATCAACATTTACAGATATTGAAGGAGCTATAGCAGCAGTGTCTGAACACTGATGTCATATTAATTCTTACACTGATTTTGACAATGCAAAATTCATACATCTCAAATATTTCAGTAACAAGTATTCATATGTATTCATTTCATACATATTCACAACATTTTGCTGGTTACAAAACACAAATGGAAATTAAAAGAAACACTTCTAGAAGAATAACCATCTAATGCTGTCGTAAAGTGACAACTTTCAATGCTTTTATTAATAGAATACTGAAAAAGCAAGAAATGTGAAAGGGAGACTCCACATGTGGTTATCTCCCCCTTATGACAATTCTTTGAGACAAGACAAGTGGCCTGTTGTTTTGTCAAATTTGACACAAAAGGTGCCACGATAAAAAGATGCACACCTTTCACAATTTAATTGTTAAAGAGTAAATGAAAATTAAATATTACATACACAACAGTAAAATTTGATCAGACTGGTTATGCCTATTATCATCTAGGTCTGTTTAAACATGACTATCTGAATAACTATATTGGTGAATCAAGACTTTTTATTTCCAATTTGTTACATAAATCAGATATATTCTAAAATTTTACACTATAGACTTCAGAGTTAAAAAAGGATTTGTAGTTTGTGTAAAAACGATATACAACTACTTAATGATACCAATGATAACTAGACTTTTTGACATTTCATAAAACTAAAAAAAATTTTTATCATGATTTAATCTTTCTCATAACAAACAGCTTCTTTGAAATAACATGACACAAAATATGATTGATTTCAGATATAAACATAACAAAATATTAATCACTTCATGAACTAAGTAGCAGGTGTCATCTGTCATATTGTTGCTGATTATCTAGTCATGACACAGCAGTTGATGATGGTGTCAGCGCTCAGATCAACCATGTCTACACGTCAGAACCAGTCCCCATACCACAATTGTAAAAAGTAAAGAACTGTTCTCAACAGACAGCTGCTCATTCTCAAATTGATAGCTTTGTCTTTTTGTGATTGAGAAGATCATTACCTGTAACGCTGACACAGGTAAGTAACTGCCACTTGCAAGGTAAAGCAAAGTTTAAACAATCAAATTAACAGGACTGCTGATGATCCCAAGCCTGAGCCTACCACCCGAACATCCCTCCTTCATGACTATCCCCTAGATATTGTACAGGTGTCTGAGCTGCATCACGCCAACTTGGAGACCTCATCCATATATGCTCCAAGAACCTTCACCTTTAAGAAAGAGAGAGAGTATGGTTTTAAGCCGCTTTTAGCAAAATTCCAGCAATATTGTCTGGGGGACAACAGAAATAGGCAACAGCTTCTTTCATATTTGTATAGTTAATCTGTCATGCTTGGTTTGGAGGCTCAGCTGTGGGGGGTAACTGGAGCTAAACACTTAATGCAGCAAATACTGTAATAAAGAAACTATTTTGCACAACTTTCACAATTTGGTTGTTCCAAAGACACAGTGCAAGGTTGTTTCAAGGATAAAGAGTGGTACTTGTCTGCTATATATATAGCATTTTGTCATCTAAAATAACAATAGTAAAGATTGCTCAAAACAAGGCAGAAGGGTTGCACGTCAAAGTAGTCCTCTGGTCGGACATCTACAATGTAGGGACATTAACCACTCACCCCGTTAATGTAGTTTTCTCTGTTGATCTTCTCGTTCTGGGAGTGAGCTCCGTCATCACATGCACCAATCGGCAACAACATCACATTTTTGCCTGTCGCCTCTTGGAAGGTCAAGGTCACAGGGATGCTTCCTCCTTCACGAGTCATGTCAGGTTCGACGCCAAACACTACAACATATTGAGCATGGATTACTCCATGGGAACACAGTAATCTTTATCGCTGTGGCCATTCAGCGTCTGGTCTGGAGCAGGCAAACCAGCATCAGAAAGTATGACCTGTGACTGTCACTATCACGGTCAGTCCCCAAACGTATCTACTCAATCGATTTTCGTCTACAAGTAAGAAGTATCTGGGTAATTGGTGAGCAGTGGGGTTCAACTAGTATATAGGTCTGTGGTAGGAAAATCCTGCATATGCTCACCTCAAGAAAATTCATTAGTCACTCGGAGTTACCTACCCTTTTTCATAGCCTGTCTGCCAGCCAAATAATGGGGATGGTTGAAGTCGCTGAGCCAGTACCGGCCACCATGGCCCATGGACACTCTGAATAAACAGTTGATAAACATATGTCACATACAGTACATTGTTTGCTTGCTGGTTGTTCAGAGCTGGTGAATATGACAACGGACCGTTTATAACTAAGTTTAAACACTCAGCCTGTGATCGATAAAAACAGCCACAATCCACACTGTCACCCCAGTCACCGAGCCTAACAACGTAATCTGTTATGGTATCTGTTAGCAATACTCAGGAGGCAACGTTGTACTGGGTGTATTTGTTCGAATATATTTTAAGAATATGAATGTACTACTCTTGACCCAATCACAATATACAGTTGCACCAATCATCTTCTACCTTATCATATTTGCATATTTATTTGTTGGATACATCTGCTATATATATTAGTAGTAAGTGTTAACACCAATTCATTCGCTGAAATTAACAACAAACTCTCCTGCGCCTTACTTCATCTTGTTGGGGCTGCCGCTCTCCTTGTGGGCCTTCTCCAGGTGAGCTACAACCAGTTTCTCAACTTGTGCTGGCTCCAGCTCGGGAACAATACGGATGGAGAACTTTCCGATGACCTTCTTTGGAATGACAGTCTTGGCTCCCGTGCCACTGAATGCTCCCTCCACACCTGTGCAGAAAGATTGACAGATAATGCATTGCCATGTACACACAATTATAGAGAGATAACATATTACCATATACAGAGAGATAACACAGCATATTACCATAGAGAGAGATAACATATTACCATATACAGAGATAACACAGCATATTACCATACAGAGAGAGATAACATATTACCATAGAGAGAGATAACAGCATATTACCATACAGAGAGATAACACAGCATATTACCATATACAAAGAGATAACACCACATCTTACCACATACAGGGAGAGATAACACAGCATATTACCATAGAGAGAGATAACAGCATATTACCATACAGAGAGATAACACAGCAAATTACCATACAGAGAGTGAGATGACACAGCATATTACCATATACAAAGAGATAACACCACATCTTACCACATACAGGGAGAGATAATACAGCATATTACCATAGAGAGAGATAACAGCATATTACCATATACAGAGAGATAACACCACATCTTACCACATATAGGGAGAGATAACACAGCATATTACCATAGAGATAACACAGCATATTACCATATAGAGAGATAACACAGCATATTACCATATAGAGAGAGATAACATATTACCATACAGAGAGATAACACAGCATATTACCATAGAGATAACACAGCATATTACCATATAGAGAGATAACACAGCATATTACCATAAAGAGAGAGATAATGGCCTTGATTGTTAGCGCTATGAGCATACCTAGTGTGGAGTTTGGCGTTATAACGTTATATAAATGGACACATTATTATTATTATTAGATAACATATTACCATACAGAGAGATAACACAGCATATTACCATATAGAGAGATAACACAGCATATTACCATAAAGAGAGAGATAACATATTACCATAGAGAGATAACACAGCATATTACCATATACAGGGAGAGACAACACAGCATATTACCATACGGAGATAGATAACATATTACCATATAGAGATATAACACAGCATATTACCATACAGAGAGAGAGATAACATATTACCATATAGAAAAATAACACTACCATACAGAGAGAGAGATAACACAGCATATTACCATGTACAGAGATAACACAACACATTACCATGTACAGAGAGATAACACAACATATTACCATATACAGAGCAATACAGCATATTACCATATACAGAGAGAGATAACATATTACCATAAAGCGAGAGAGATAACACAACATATTACCATAAAGCGAGAGAGATAACATATTACCATATAGAGAGATAACACAGCATATTACCATATACAGAGGGATAACACAGCATATTACCGTGTACAGAGAGAGAAGGGAAGCGCCATCTGGACATAAGGATTTGTTCCTTCTCAGCATGGATGAGCTTCTCCGCACCAAGGTCCTTTCTGTAGTCTTCCTGCAAGTATCAAGTGTACATCAGATTCAGTCTACACTTCTCCATTCCTAGTCACAGCCTACAACTCAACATATTTCATCCTATGGTGGATGTCTGTAAATAATCGAATCTTGACCACACAATCCAGTGATTAACATCATGAGCATTGATGGGATAAACCACATGCAGTTGGGATACGATGATATCACCCGATCCTGCTCTAACATGGATCTTCACTGGTCTCATGAGTGGGTAGTTATGACAGTCGTAAGTATGTAATGACGAAAAATGTATGTACCACGTCAAAATCAATCGGTTTATAGAGTTGCCTTTCTTCGTCTGTGACAGGGAGCACGCCCTCGTTGATGCCGGGGATGAGTATCTCCCCCTTGTTGTTGACCAGCGTCCCCAACAGGCCGACGAGGTCCACCATGGCCTCATGACTGCAGCCCAAGAACAATACAATAATGTGACAGTGCTGACGAGTGATCAACAACACCATACTATGATCATGGCCTGGCACAATGAATTACATCATCCTGGACCTCTGAGGCATCTGTGCCCTCTCTTAATGTTTCATTAACAAAGCATTGACGTGAAATTCGTGGTGACAAAATGTCACTTATTGTTTACATTAGAAGCAGCCAATCATAGAAAGGGAGAGAATTCCATTGTAACTCAGTCTAAGTGAACTTAAGCTCAGTATTATTCGTCACACTGTTATACTGAGTCTAACAAACCTTAGTAGAAGGTGGCGTCAGCTAACTTTTGAGCGACCAATGACCATCCAATCAAACGGCCGAAAGGATTTAACCAATCAGACAATGCCTACTATCTAGGGTTCGGCGGGACTTACAAAATGGATTTTCTTTTACACGGTTGCTGACACTGATCTCTCAACTAACGAAAATCTCACAAATCACAGATATTTGACCTGAAGTATATATACACTATGGGGTTTCTGCTGAAATGGTTAACATTGGCTAATATTTCCAAAGATGACATCCTGGAATATTGACAAAAATACATTATCACCTTCTGCCTGGCAAGTGAACAGATCAATACTTACACTGTTCCTCCAAAGACACCAGAATGGAGATCCTTTGATGCACACTCAACCTCCAGGAAAAAATAGCAGATGCCTCTGGGAACATTGAATTAGGAACATTCACATAAAAATAATAGAAATCTGCTGTTCACAATAACAATAACAATAACACCAAAAGTAACCATGAAAATAAAGAATCATACTGCTACTTTTCAAGGAGAAACCTTTTCAGCCAATACACTTATAGTTCTGTCGGCTTTGCAAGAATGGATTTTTAAGCTGTTGATTGGACGATTCAGTCAGATTCAGTCAGGAGTATACAGGTAAGATTTACAGTAACTTCGAATATGAATCATGATTGTCCTGTTTTCGATCATGGACGTGATCTGTCCTCCGAATTCGATAATCCGACAATTTGCTGTGCAATGGACGATGTCGGATTAACGCGACTTGACTACGCCTTTCAGTGGAAAAGTAATCCTCCTTCAATTAGATGATTACATATGACACTTATAACATCTAAAGGCAATATAATGTCTTGATGTAATATTTATAATATGAGGAACACCACATTTGGGTGTATATTGTTACTACTTCATGAGGTGAATGAAAACTAGGAAGCAGATAGCTGTTTAAGTACATGTGAAACCATCCTCGTAAGGATGGCAAAAGCGCAATAACTTGGTTATTGGCTGCAAGAGTTGTATGCTCCCCAGGGAGTTGAGATTGATAATACAATGTGCCATTCATATTGACATCAAGTGATCGAGGGAAAAAAACAGTACCTTGAGCATGTACTAGTTGCATGGATATGTGCGTTATATAAATATCCGATAATAATAACAATAAATAATAACAAGAAGACAAAGTCATCAATATCCCCCGCAATGGCAAAATACTCTTATGAATATGTCTACTAGCTATGATTATGTCAAATGTTTTGGTGTGTATATGGCAAAGTGGAAGGAGAGTATTGAAAGGTTTTAAAGTTCCGCTCCAGGAAGGAGCACTACCCCCAAATTCAGTCAAAACCAAACTTGTTGCCATGGAAACACAAAAAATATTGTAGTCAGAATTCCAAAACTACCAAAAGGCACCAGTAAATCACCATACCTATCTATGTGAAAAGTCTGGTGAAGAAATGGTGATCGGTTTTAAAGCTCTGCTCCGGAAAAGAGCACAACCACCAAATTCAGTCGAAGTCGAACTTGTTGCAACAGAAACACAACAATACAAAACTACCAAAAGGCACCAGTACACCACCAGACCAATCTATGTGCCAAGTTTGGTGAAGAAATATTGAATGGTTTTAAAGTTCTGCTCCGGAAAAGAATACTACCACCAATTTCAGTCAAAGCCAAAGGTGTTGCCATGGAAACACAAAAAATATCATGATCAGAAATCCAAAACTACCAAAAGGCACCAGTACACCACAAGACCTATCTATGTGCCAAGTTTGTTGAAGAAATATTGAACGGTTTAAAAGTTCTGCTCCAGAAAAGACAAATGTGCACGGACGCACGCACGCACACGCACACGCACACACACACGGACGGACGCACGGAATGCATTTTAATACCCCCGCAAAACGTGTTGTGGGGGATAATAACAGTGGTAAGATAATGATTGTGGACACATAACAAGGCAAGTAGGTAACTGGAGGTTATATGTAATGGCAATGGAGAAATAGAAGGCAGGCGGTAAATCCAGCTGCTGGCACCTCTGCCACTGATGTGCAGGAGGGTTTTAAAGTCGCATCCATAAATTGAAATTAAATACATACATTTTTACCTTTATATGTATCACTTCCAAATGTCATTCAAAGACAAATAACATCACCCTTTGAAACGCAAACAGTCTGGAATATTTTCCTCCACCCAGCCCATGTCACACCTGGGATTTACAACTACGGATTACTGAGCTGGCACTATATCGGGATGTTTTGACTCGGGTGACTGACCTGAGACCGTACGTGATGCACGGCTTCTTCTTCCCCAGCCAGTAGTTGTCTGAGATGCACACAAAGTCGGTGCCCTGTAAAACATGAATAAGAGAAAGAGATCTAATGCAGCTCTTACATGAAAACATGAAATTATCTTAGTGCTAAGAATATAAACCTATGTTAAAGTGTGGTAAGGGAGTCATGAACATCTTAGCGCTAAGTTCGCTTTGTGGAGCAGGGCCTTGGTTAACTAGGGCTGGACTGAGGACACAGAATGGTGACAGGTGAGACTCAAGATGAACAGTTTCTACATTATATTTTTAAAAGAAATTCCAATCGAATATGAGAATCACAATCATGACATTCAGAGATTCTAATGGATGCCATCTGCAACTGGGACACATGAAAACTGAAACATCATGAAGTAACAAAATAGTTTGATTTACAATACAACCAGAAATTATTGAGAAATTAAAGATTGTAATTTTTATAATTTTCTTCACTCATTACTCACATATTAAATGTGAATATTAGCAGAACATAACTCAAAATTCAAACACAGGTGAACAGTTAGTATTTTGTCAAGTCACCATGGGCAGCAATGCAGGCTTCAATGCGGCGGGGCATACTACTGATCAAAGAGGTTAGAAAGTCGTGGTCCATGCTGTCCCAATATCGGACCACCTCTTCTTTCATTTCAGCAATATTTTTGTCAGATTTGTCTTATTGACACTTTCCTTCATAAGTCCCCAAACAATTTCTATTGGATTTAGGTCAGGGCTATAGCTTGGCCAGTCTAATAATGTCATATTTTGGGTCCGAAACAAGGCCTGTGAATGCTTTGAACGATGTTTTGGGTCGTTGTCCTGCTGGAAAATCCAAAAATTTCCATAGAACACGTGAGCAGATGGAAGTAAATGTCCCTCGAGAATATCTGTGTACCGCTCACTGTTCATATTCCCTTTAAATACACAGAGGGGCGTTGCCCCTAACACAGATATGCCACCCCACACGTTAAATTTCGGACTGTACTTGGGGCGCTGATACAAAGGTTTTTCACTTTGTTTGGTCCCGAATTTCAGTGTATTAGGAAACAGCAACACAGAACTTTCATCTGACAAAATCACATTGTCCCAGTCAAAATTTCTATGCTGTAAGCACCAGTTCAACCTTCGCTCCTTTTGTTCAGGTTTCATGATCTGTGATGGAATTCCTCGACTTTTCTGCCAACCCATTGCATGCAGCTCAGTTCTAATTGTCTCCTTACAGACAGCCACAGTTCCTCTATCAATCATATCCAGCCTTAAGTTTTCTAAACTCCTTCGTTTGTTTTTAGAAACAAGAATACAAAGCCGCCTCCTGTCACCGACAGTCAATTTTCTGGGCCTACCTGTGCCTCCCTGGTGCTCAATGCCATATCCATTTGCAATATTTTTCAAAACACGATAAACAGTGGACAAAGGGATGCCTGTCCTACTTGAAATCCCTTTAGCTGATCTGATGTCCTTGTTATAATACTCTAAAATCAACTTCCTCTTCTCTAAATCATCCATACTGAGGATCACTGAAAATGTCGTCTGCTAGCAAGTAAACAAAGGAGGATAACTCTTCACAAACTAATGAAAAAAGGATTAACAGAGTTGTCTCTCTTGAATGAAACCAAACCCTTGATAGCTGGTCAAAGTTGTTTATACTAGAAATCCAATTAAACATATTCCTAAAATTCTCAATAATTTCTGGTCATACTATAGCTCTAAGCTTGTCCTACAGTTACACTCCTCAAGCACTTTCAAAACCATAACGCAAAACCAAACTGTCAGCTATTTTTGCCATTCTGTATGTCTATATGCTGATCCCACCTTGAGGAATGTGTCCTTCTTTGAAAACACAAGATCGTCCAAACCCTCTGAGCCAGACTCTTCCATCCCCTCAAAACAAAACTGTCAAGAGAAAAGATCAAACAATAATTAAATAATCGTATCAGTGAAGTTTTCCAATTCAAGTTTCAGCTTTACAAAGATGTATTCTAATTTACTGATAACATGAAGAAATCAATCTAATTTGGATCAAATGCCTAGGCTTTAATGCCTACAAGGAAAATACAGTTCACAAAATACATATTTTCAAATACCATAAATTTCGAGTTTATGTAGTTATATTGTGTCACGGGTTTGTAGAAATGACTTGTACTTCACTGATAACAGGCCCAATAAAGAGGAAAAAGGTTTTAATGCTTAGTTCCACATTACTGGATTACCTGCACTGTTAAAGGACACACAGGACTTAACACAATTACTTTAAAACATTCATTTTGAGCAGAATCATTTACTTTTCAAATCCCACTGTGTGTCACTGAGGATTCCTCAAGGATTACAAACTGTCATCCATATATAATTACAGTCTGCACGCACAGTCAGTCCATATCATTCAGACCGGCACCACCCTCACCTTCATGTTGACTGGGACGTCCATCTTGAGTTCTTGCATTGCCTCTATACAGTTGATCCAGTCCAGCACAGGGCCCTAGGGAGATATGATAAATATACACGAAAGCTACATCAGGGGGATGTGCTGATGGATTTTCCTGACTGATTATGGTCTTGCATTATGGGATGGTCTCAGCAATCATGGCGGGGGACACCAGGAATGACAATAACACACTGTATCTATGAAGGGAATAGAACACAGGCCCTCGGCCTTCTGCAGACCAACAACCCGTTTTATTCAAGGCTGTCGTAAGTCTATGTTACAGTATGGGAGGTACGACAGTCGTAGCACTATGATAGCTTTGTGAAACGGCGCCCATGTTTCATCATATCGATGATCATTTTCAGCCAATGACAGTCCTTACAGTGTGGTGTCATTCAATCAGTAACAAACGTGTAAACCTTCACCTTGTCATCTGTAGACTCCCCTCCTGTGTCACCTTTTCAACTGTAGATTCCCTCCCGCCTCACCTTGTCATCTGTAGATCCCCGCCCGTACAGCTTGCCATCCTTCTCAGTAAGGACAAATGGCTCAGTGTCCCAGCCATCTTCCTGTGTACATAGACTCGAATCATCAACACTGCATTCTGATTGGTCAAAACATCTTTAAAACGGAGGGGACATGATGTAGAATGTTGTATGGACTAAAGGGTAAACTGACCTTGGCATCAGATGTACAATGCATTTGAGTGCATCAAGGCGCTAAAAATTTAATAACGATGAGCACACATAGCTTACTTCTTCATAAACAGTTTAATTTTAGGGACCGTTCATAATTTATATCTAGGGGATGATGATGATTTTTATGGAGAAGCATTTACAATGTGACTGACCCCTCCCCTCCCCCCAAAAAATAAAAAAATTATGTACAAAGTAAGTGACCCCCCTGCATGTCATGTACAAAATCAATGACCCAACCTCCACCTTCCCATATTTTTTATGCATTTAAAAATATTCTTATGTACAAAATTGATGACCCCCACTAGTACATGTGTACAAAATTGATGACTGACTGACTGACTGACTGACTGAGTTTGGTTTTACGCTGCTTTTAGCAATATTCCAGCAACATCACAGCGGGGGACACCAGAAATGGGCTTCACACAATGTACCCATGTTGGGATTCGAACCTGGGTCTTCGGCGTGACGAGTCAACGCTTTAACCACTAGGCTACCCCACCGCCCCACAAAATTGATGACACCCCCCCTAATATCATCATCATCACCAACAAGTTTATGTGTCACCCCTCCCAATCGAGGGGTATTGCTAACAATCGTATGACATAATATGATGCAAGCAGTGCCCAGAGTTTTTTAGTTCACTGTGTACACATTCATTCTACCGATTTTCACAGCTTTATTTAAACTATTTTATACATTAAATCGTTTGAACACTCAACTTAAACACAATTAACCATTTTTATAGCAGTTTTAACCTTGTCAGAATATGTTTCACTGATTTTAAAATCCAACCGAGAGGCAGACGCCATTTTGTTTACATGACACATAGTGGGTAGCGGTCTTCAAAATAAAATAAAATGATATTTTGTACATTTAACATGGCAGTAAGATATATATGTTGTATGCATACAACTTCCAAGATAGCATGCGCACATTGGCCCAACTTTGGCAATGTTGGCAAAACCATTGCCAACTTTGGGCCAACGTCTGAATGCTATCTGGGTTATAGTGTCTGACAGTGTCTATCTGTGTGTGCAAGTGTGTCTGAGTAAGGTTTTTGCAGGTCAGCTCAAAGAAGAAAAAGTTTTGACAGTCGAGATGTGAATGGCAAGATAAAGCAAACCTTCTCTGCAGGTTGAACATCAAGATGGCCATACACCAGGATTGTTTTCTTGGCAGGATCTTCACCAAGTTGCCCAAGCAGGACTGGTGGGAGGGGGATCTTAGAACCATCTGGGAGGGTCTGGTCTCCAAGTTCCTCCAACCAACACTTGGCGCCAAGTTTCTCTAGCTCCTGTGGGAAGACATAATATTCGTAATATAGTATATACAAGCACAACACTCCATCTCCTCATGGTTTATTCTCACTGCAGCGCTTTATTCAAGAGACTAAAAAATAGTGTTGCAATAAGCCATCAGGGCACAATCACATGCATCAGCTGCAATAAGCCATCAGGGCACAATCACATGCATCAGCTGCAGTAAGCCATCAGGGCACAATCACATGCATCAGGTGCAATAAGCCATCAGGACACAATCACATGCATCAGCTGCAGTAAGCCATCAGGGCACAATCACGCATGCATCAATAACACATATCAGCTGCCAATCAGGGCACAATCACATGCATCAGCTGCAATAAGCCATCAGGGCACAATCACATGCATCAGCTGCAATAAGCCATCAGGGCACAATCACATGCATCAGCTGCAATAAGCCATCAGGGCACAATCACATGCATCAGCTGCAATAAGCCATCAGGGCACAATCAGATGTTGCCAGACTCATTTAAAGGAAACTTAAAACAGTGAATGTTTTAATTAGCAAACACAACTTATTGATACTGATATTGGTAAATATTTATGATTATTTGAGCATTTCATAAGTATCTCTAAGTGCACAGGAATCCTTCGAGAGATGCGCACATCACCAACATGTCACCAGCATGTCACCAGCTGGTGACCAATACAACTCCTGTCAACCTTTTCTTAAATAGACAAAGGAAATAATTTCTCAAAAGAAGAACCCTTGTTTAATCCATTCCACTATTAAAAAAAACAAATAAATGTAAATAGCATTAAAACAATGAGAACCATATTGTTTATTCCCGGTGTTTAAGATCAATATCAACTGACCAGAGAGTTTCTAAGCATGTAGATGAGCATAAGGATGGGATGTAGTTCAAACGGGATGTAGTTCTTATGGCAGTAAACCGTTCTGCCTACATGCACAAGGGATCATCTCAAAGCTATTTTATGCTTTTTCATTGGTGTTGAATATGTCTCATCTATTGATCATAAAGTATATGTTTAGATCAGTGTATGAAATAAGGCCCATCTGACCGCCCGAGACGGGCTAGATTTCTGTTGGACGGTCTAATTTTACAGCTAGCCATCCTGATGGACAGGTGCAAAAAAAATATTCAGATAACGTGTCCAATGGCACTGTCTATTTAGTATATAAGAAGGACTGGTTAAATCTCTTCTGGGCTGGTAAGTTTTTGAAGTTACCAGCCCAAATGTCTGTCTGGGTTTTTGGCTTATTTCATACACTGTTGAGATACGAAAAAGGGTATGATACCCATGGAAAAGCTTAAATCAGCCATCGTATTAAATGTCTCAAAATATATAGGTGGCATGACCACCCGAAGATCAACAGTACCGGATATTATTTGTAAATTGTTATGACATGCCGTTTGCTTCCCAGTTTAATTCCCCCAAAGGATTATCGTATATCAGCTTATATCTCTATCCCCCATCCCGACCCCAACCACCGACACCCAAAATGGATTTGCTTTTGAGACGACCCCTTCTACCTGTTTCTTTTTACAGTGATAGTGAGACTCCATGGCAGCTACATCCTTCATAGTTTCAGTATTAAAGTTATTATTTTTTACGTCAGCTATTGTTTATAATGAAGCTAAGTTTAATTTCAAAGTGGACATTTAAAATTGTCCTTTGTAATATAATATCATCTCACACTACTTTGCATAAAGCCATGGCCTGTTCCAAATAAGTCGCTTTGGACTTAGAAAAAGACCGCATTTCTCATTTCTGCACTAATCTCTCCTCAGTAAAGTCCTTTTTCTACGTTTCCTATCTCCCTACCACTGAGACTGTAGTTAGGCTGAACTTAGTTTAACAGATATTTCACACTTACACATATTAACTACATAAATTGTAGATATCAATGCGAAACAAGAAAAAATTGTGTCCAGGGACAAGGATGCCCCCGCTGACATTCATAAGACATATAAAGATCAACAATTGAACAAAATTCACGAACAAGTTCAATAAACATCTAAGCAACTATGACATGCACACCTTTCGAGTCTCAATGAAACATATATATAAGCTTAATCAATTCTGTTGAGCAGTTTTTGTGGAGAAGTGGATAGACTTAATCCCCTATTTCACTATCATCAAAGAGAAATTCAGGAAAATTTATCTAAGTTCAAAATTCTCTAAACATACAAAAAATTATAAAATACGAAAACAAAATATGAGATGGACACCTTTAGAGTCTCTATAAAAGACATATGTAAGCTAAATGAGTTTTGTGCAGTGGTTTTTGAGGAGAAGTGGATAAAGTACACCCCCTGTTGTATGGGACGAACTGGATGAATAGAGCCAATTCAAGTTCAAACATCTGTAGAAGTGACAAAATTAAGAAATTGGATGAACAAGGTATGAGACGCACACCTTTAGAGTCCCAATGAAACACACATAGAAGGCCAATTCTGTTGAGCAGCTTTTGTGGAGAAGTGGATAAAATTCATCCCCTATAACACTATATTCAGAGAGAAATTCAACAAAATTTATGCAAGTTTAAACGGCATTAAAATTGGAAAAATAAATAAAATACAAAATCAAAATATGAGATGCACACCTTTAGAGTCCCTTTAAAGCACATGTGTAATCTAAATGAATTCCATAAAGTAGTTTTTGAGGAGAAGTGGATAACGTACACCAGGTTGGATGGAACGAACAGACTGAATAGAACCAAATGCAACTAAGTTCCCTGTAAAAGTGACAAAATTAAGAAATTGGATGAACAAGGTATGAGATGCACTCCTTTAGAGTTCCAATTGAAGCTCAATCAATTCTGTTGAGCAGCTTTTGTGGAGAAGTGGATAGACTTCACCCCCTACAACAGTATATTCAGAGAGAAATTCAACAAAATTTATGTAAGTTCAAACGGCATTAAAATTGGAAAAATAAATAAAATGAAAAATCAAAATATGAGATGCACGCCTTTAGACTCCCTATAAAGCACTTGTGTAATCTAAATGAATTCCATAAAGTAGTTTTTGAGGAGAAGTGGATAATGTACAACCCCTGTTGGATGGAACGAACACTGGCTGAATAGAACGAGATTCAACTAAGTTCAAACATCTGTAAAAGTGACAAAATAAAGAAATTGCATAAAAAATTATGAAATGCACACCTTTAGAGTCCCTACAAAAGACATGTAGAAGTTCATTCAATTCTGTTGAGCAGTTTTTGTGGAGAAGTGGATAGACTTCATCCCCTATTACACTATCATCATAGAGAAATTCAGCAAAATGTACCTAAGTTCAAATGTCTCTAAACTTACCAAAAAAACAATAAAATAAAAAACAAAATATGAGATGCACACCATTAGAGTCCCAAGAAAGCCCATGTATAAGTTCATTGAATTCCACAGAGCGGTTATGGTGGAGAAATGGATAGAATACATTCCCTGTTTCGTACGGACGGACGGACGGACGCCGAGGGTAACCCTATATGCCCCTGTCATATATGGCGGGGGCATAAAAACAGTTTTTTTTCTATTTCTGACAGTACTTTAGTACACTTGTCCTACTGGCCTAACCATGCCAGCTTGTATGTGAGTGAGTGAGTGAGTGAGTGACTTTACGGCAAGATCACGGCGGTGGACACAAGACATGGGCTTCACACATTGTGCCCATGTGGGGAATCTAATCCGGGTGTTCGCCGTGACGAGCGACCACTTTAACCACTAGGCTCCCCCTCCGCCCAGCTGGTAAGTAAATAAGAGAATAAGAAGATAACAAACATGGATTTAACCATTAGCCATTATCAATTATGAATATTCAGAAACTATGTAATTTAACATGATTTCTACATAAAAAGATTTTGGCAACAACTCACAGCTTTTGTCCATTCCACCATTTTGCGGATCTCTCCTCGTTTTTCTGGCCATGCTGAAACACTCTGAATGGCAACCGTGTCCGCAAGTCTTTTAACATACTTTTCTTGGTTCTTGTCAATGTGTCTAGTAAAACGAAAACAAATGCATCTTACAAGAAAAGACACCTACAACTTATAAAGCCGTCATCTTTAAAGTATACAAACTAAACAAACAATTCATCATGTACCAGATACCTTCCACCATATTGGACATGAACGTATGCAAGTTCCTTCATTAGAAATTATGAGAAACTAGCTGCCTTGTTAAAGTAACAGGGTTTGGGGTGGGCAGTGAAAACAATCACCCCCATCCCCCAACAACCTGAAACAACTGCTATATGTAAATATACTTTTCAGCTTCCGAAGACACTAAAAATACCTATCAATATTCTGACCCACTGGATGCCACTGATGTCATTATGGAACATACTTTTTAGCTTCATTTCCATGTTAATGTCCAATGTTTTATGTTATAAGTTGTATTAATATTCAATTTGAGTTTTTAGGCTTGTATATATTTAATTCTGGAACAGATGAACCAGTGGTTGATATTATAGGCGATGTCACCTGTCATTGAGTCTGTGTTGCTGGGGACCTACTCTACCCAGAATCCCTAGAGGGCTCTCACCACAACTTTATGTCCAGGGTCCCGTTCCTCACGTGAGCGCTACAACAGTTGTAAGTCTATGTTAAAGTAGGATCATCTTAGCGCTATAAGTGTTTGGTGGAACAGGGCCCTGGTTCAGATGTTGTCACTACAGACACACAGATATAACAAGACCTACGCTGTGACACTTGTAAGTCTATGTTAAAGTATGATTATCTTAGCGCTATAATCGTTTGGTGGAACGGGGCCCTGGTTCAGATGTTGTCACTACAGACACACAGATATAACAAGACCTACGCTGTGACACTTGTAAGTCTATGTTAAAGTATGATTATCTTAGCGCTATAATCGTTTGGTGGAACGGGGCCCTGGTTCAGATGTTGTCACTACAGACACACAGATATAACAAGACCTACACTGTGACAGTTGTAAGTCTATGTTAAAGTATGATCATCTTAGCTTATAATCGTTTGGTGGAGCGGGGCCCTGGTTCAGATGTTGTCACTACAGACACACAGATATAACAAGACCTACACTGTGACAGTTGTAAGTCTATGTTAAAAGTATGATCATCTTAAGCTACAATTGTTTGGTGGAGCGGGGCCCTGGTTCAGATGTTGTCACTACAGACACACAGATATAACAAGACCTACACTGTGACAGTTGTAAGTCTATGTTAAAGTATGATCATCTTAGCTACAATTGTTTGGTGGAGCGGGCCCTGGTTCAGATGTTGTCACTACAGACACACAGATATAACAAGACCTACACTGTGACAGTTGTAAGTCTATGTTAAAAAGTATGATTATCTTAAGCTATAAGTGTTTGGTGGAGCGGGGCCCTGGTTCAGATGTTGTCACTACAGACACACAGATATAACAAGACCTACACTGTGACAGTTGTAAGTCTATGTTAAAGTATGATTATCTTAAGCTATAAGTGTTTGGTGGAGCGGGGCCCTGGGTCAGATGTTGTCACTACAGACACACAGATATAACAAGACCTACACTGTGACAGTTGTAAGTCTATGTAAAAGTATGATCATCTTAAGCTATAAGTGTTTGGTGGAGCGGGGCCCTGGTTCAGATGTTGTCACTACAGACACACAGATATAACAAGACCTACACTGTGACAGTTGTAAGTCTATGTTAAAGTATGATTATCTTAAGCTATAAGTGTTTGGTGGAACGGGCCCTGGTTCAGATGTTGTCACTACAGACACACAGATATAACAAGACCTACACTGTGACAGTTGTAAGTCTATGTTAAAGTATGATTATCTTAGCGCTATAAGTGTTTGGTGGAACGGGGCCCTGGTTCAGATGTTGTCACTACAGACACACAGATATAACAAGACCTACACTGTGACAGTTGTAAGTCTATGTTAAAGTATGATTATCTTAGCGCTATAAGTGTTTGGTGGAACGGGGCCCTGGTTCAGATGTTGTCACTACAGACACACAGATATAACAAGACCTACACTGTGACAGTTGTAAGTCTATGTTAAAGTATGATCATCTTAGCGCTACAATTGTTTGGTGGAACGGGGCCCTGGTTCAGATGTTGTCACTACAGACACACAGATATAACAAGACCTATGCTGTGACTCAACGAACATGAATGAACATCACGTTCCTGAAGTGCAGAGGTTATAAGTTCCTGTGCTTGTTCATACCTGCAAGATAACTTACTGAATCAACATAGTTGCCACAATCATGCATTTGAAATCTGCATTATCGCCCACTTGTCTGTGACTGATAACACATTTAACTACCAGCAGTGCATACTGAAAAATAACAGTACAACAACAGATAACAGCCCCACAATCTTGATTCAAGTCATTCAATAATCATTATTCCAGAGCTCAATTGAGCATATTAAAACTTCAATACAAAATCATATCATGGTTAAATGTTTCTAAGCAATATTGTATGTACATCACTATGAAAAATCTGAAATGACTCAGGCTATCCTCCTTCAACAAGGAACTGACAAGTCACTACTCCATTGCCTATAGCCTTGACCTTTGTTCAATAAAGTGTCATTAACAAAGAGCTGCATATGTTCATTCAAGATTTATTACTCATCCAGAATTATTTCCTGTCTGAATATTGACTTTAACCAAACATGCTCAAGAACTATATTTTGCTGCCCATGACTGACTGACTGACTGACTGAGTTTGGTTTTACGCCGCTTTTAGCAATATTCCAGCAATATCACGACGGGGGACACCAGAAATGGGCTTAACACATTGTGCCCATGTGGGGAATCGAACCCGGGTCTTCGGCGTGACGAGCCAACGCTTTAACCACTAGGCTACCCCACCGCCCCTGCTGCCCATGAAGAAACTGAGTAATAAACCAAGCATCATAGTTATATTTACAAAACGTGAATCTAAAAATCTCCTGCCATCTCATGAATCGTGGCAAACAGTTTCTAATTGTCCTGACTGACAATTTTGGCTAGTTCAGTCAAAACCCTGTAGGGTTTAGACAAATTGTTATGTTAAATCTAAACTTTGTACTTAACAGTTTTGGGATAATTTACATTAATCTTTTCTGATTAATCTTTTTCATTTGTCTTACAATAATCAGTATATCCAACCAGGATCCTCAAAATAATATAATATATTATCTGGACAATAATGAATTATCTGGTGACGTGTGTGTGGTGCACGTATGCTGGTGAGGTGTTTGTGGTACAGGTATGCTGGTGAGGAGTGTTTGATACAGGTATGCTGGTGAGGTATGCGTGGTGCAGGTATGCTAGTGAGGTGTGTGTGGTACAGGTATGCTGGTGAGGGGTATGTGTGGTGCAGGTATGCTAGTGAAGTGTGTGTGGTGCAGGTATGCTAGTGAGGTGTGTGTGGTACAGGTATGCTGGTGAAGTATGTGTGGTGCAGGTATGCTAGTAAGGTGTGTGTGGTACAGGTATGCTAGTGAGGTGTGTGTGGTACAGGTATGCTAGTGAGGTGTGTGTGGTACAGGTATGCTAGTGACGTGTGTGTGGTACAGGTATGTGTGGTGCAGGTAATTGCTAGTGAGGTGTTTGTGGTACAGGTATGCTGGTGAGGAGTGTTTGATACAGGTATGCTGGTGAGGTATGCGTGGTGCAGGTATGCTAGTGAGGTGTGTGTGGTACAGGTATGCTGGTGAGGTATGTGTGGTGCAGGTATGCTAGTGAGGTGTGTGTGGTGCAGGTATGCTAGTGAGGTGTGTGTGGTACAGGTATGCTGGTGAAGTATGTGTGGTGCAGGTATGCTAGTGAGGTGTGTGTGGTACAGGTATGCTGGTGAAGTATGTGTGGTGCAGGTATGCTAGTAAGGTGTGTGTGGTACAGGTATGCTAGTGAGGTGTGTGTGGTACAGGTATGCTGGTGAGGTGTGTGTGGTACAGGTATGCTAGTGAGGTGTGTGTGGTACAGGTATGCTAGTGGATATTATGTGTGTGGTACAGGTATGTGTGGTGCAGGTAATTGCTAGTGAGGTGTTTGTGGTACAGGTATGCTGGTGAGGAGTGTTTGATACAGGTATGCTGGTGAGGTATGCGTGGTGCAGGTATGCTAGTGAGGTGTGTGTGGTACAGGTATGCTGGTGAGGTATGTGTGGTGCAGGTATGCTAGTGAGGTGTGTGTGGTGCAGGTATGCTAGTGAGGTGTGTGTGGTACAGGTATGCTGGTGAAGTATGTGTGGTGCAGGTATGCTAGTAAGGTGTGTGTGGTACAGGTATGCTAGTGAGGTGTGTGTGGTACAGGTATGCTAGTGAGGTGAGTGGGGTACAGGTATGCTAGTGAGGTGTGTGTGGTACAGGTATGCTAGTGACGTGTGTGTGGTACAGGTATGTGTGGTGCAGGTAATTGCTAGTGAGGTGTGTGTGGTACAGGTATGTGTGATACAGGTATGCTAGTGAGGTGTGTGTGGTACAGATATGCTGGTGAGGTGTGTGTGATACAGGTATACTGGTGAGGTCAGTGTCTGATACAGGTATGCTAGTGAAGTGTGTGTGGTACAGGTATGCTGGTGAGGTGTGTCTGATACAGGTATACTGGTGAGGAGTGTTTGATACAGGTATGCTAGTGAGGTGTGTGTGGTACAGGTACTGTAAACGTACTTATTTTCGCGTGGTGCAATTTTCGTGGAATTGACAGTTTAGACTACATCGCACGGTCAATTATTCACGCAATCAGTAATTGCCGGAACTGCCAGCTGTCTCTTTGGCCGCCACTAATAGCAGTGAAAACAAACAGAGTGGCTTAACCTGTCAGGCGGCGTTTATTGCATACTCACAGGAAATCCATATCTGTGCGATATACTAGTACACAGTAATCCGTTTACTCACGGAAGAGATAAAAAACACATCAGTCTTATGTTCAGATTCTGACGATCTGACGAATTAACTTCTACTGTATATGAAGCTCTTTGTGATTTCAAACAAGCCGGGTTGTTGTGAATGAGATGATTGAGTGTTAAGTGACTATTCGCTTCATGATGTACTGGTAAATAAAATCTTAATGAATAAATAAAATACTGCTGTATTATTTCTTTCCGAGTCGTTTCATGGTAATCTGTTTTGTATCAAACCATCTGTCATGTGACCAATTTCCATGGCGGCCACAACACACATTGCTGTTTTCGCTAATTCAGCGATGGGATTTGGCTCATTATTTAATTATGTTTTGGGAAATACATTACAGCAACAGTTAAGTATGATTGTTTATGCTACTATCAGTCGTCATTTTAATATTCGCGGTGTATAAATTTTCGCGCTAAAATGTTTTGCGCGAAAAGCGCGAAAATAAAACCTCCGCGAAATATAATACGTTTACAGTATGCTGGTGAGGTGTGTCTGATACAGGTATACTGGTGAGGAGTGTGTGGTACAGATATGCTGGTGAGGTGTGTGTGGTACAGGTATGCTAGTGAGGTGTGTCTGATATAGGTATGCTAGTGAGGTGTGTGTGGTACAGGTATGCTAGTGAGGTGTGTGTGGTACAGGTATGTGTGGTCCAGGTATGCTAAGTGAGGTGTGTGTGGTACAGGTATGTGAGGTCCAGGTATGCTGGTGACGTATGTGTGGTGCAGGTATGTGTGGTACAGGTATGCTAGTGAGGTATGTGTGGTGCACGTATGTGTGGTACAGGTATGTGTGGTACAGGTATGCTAGTGAGGTGTGTCTGATACAGGTATGTGTGGTGCAGGTATGCTAGTGAGGTGTGTCTGATACAGGTATGTGTGGTGCAGGTATGCTGGTGAGGTGTGTGTGGTGCAGGTATGCTAGTGAGGTGTGTGTGCTGCAGGTATGCGGGTGAAGTGTGTGTGGTGCAGGTATGCTAGTGAGGTGTGTGTGGTGCAGGTATGCGGGTGAAGTGTATGTGGTGCAGGTATGCGGGTGAAGTGTGTGTGGTGCAGGTATGCTAGTAAGGTGTGTGTGGTGCAGGTATGCGGGTGAGGTGTGTGTGGTGCAGGTATGCTA